CGCCCCGCGGCGGCGGCGGCTGCAGGCGAGCGCGGAGCCCATGGAAGGGGCGGCAGCCGGGCCGGGGCGAGGCGCTCGGAGCCGGTCCCGCGCCTGGCGGTGCCGACTCTGGCTCCGCGGAACGTGGGGGAGGGGAGGGAGGGGAGGGAGGATGGAAGAGAGAGAGAGAGAGGGAGAGAGAGAGAGATCCCTTAATTTTCACCCAGGATCGGGTGAAATTTCCGTTGCTGCGCAAAACGCTGAAAGAAAAGACGGTTCGGCAACAAAAGGCCGACGTGGTCCCCAGGCGGAGGCGCGGGAGGGGAGGGAGGCCGAGCGGGTGGGGAGCCCGGCGGGGTGCGGGGTTCGGGCCCGGCACACTCGCCCCCCGCGCACCGTCGTCGAGCCGCGGCTCCACTCCGCCGCGCGCCCCGCGCCCCCGCGCGCCCTCCCGGCTCTGAAAGGTCCCTTCCCCGCCCCTCCCCCGCCCCCTCCCCCAGACCAATTATGCCACCGAAAATTATAGACCGAGGCCTCGAGGCGGCCGCCCCAGGCCCTGTCACCCCCTCCCGCCCCCCATCAATCCGCCGGCACAATAGGACCGCCGCCGCTGACTGATGTCCGGGAAAACAACTTGCGGGGAAGTCGCGCTGACAAACGCCCCTTAAAGGCGGCGCATAATGAAGGGGGCCGCGGAGGGCGGCGAGGGGAGGGCCCGGGGCGCGGGCGCGCGTGGGGGACCCCGGGCTTGTGTCTGTGCCCGGGGGTCCCCGCTGGAGCCGGTGCGCTGTCCTAGGTGGCCCGAGGCGTGGCGGGCCCTGCCAGGAGGTGCTTTATCCTGTCACGCACCCCATCCGGGCAGATCCGGAAGGGCGAGGTTTTCACACCTTGGGCGGGCCTCAGAGGGTCCAGTCCCAGCAGTGGGCCAGAGAGGGGGTTGGGGAGGTGGGAGGGGGACCGGAGAGCCAGAGCAAGGGCACGGAGACAGAGAGCCCCAGAGAGCTAGAGAGACAGACACAGAGAGAAAGACAGGCAGGGAGCCAGCGCAGGAGAAATATGCCAGAGATCCACAGACAGAAGGAGAGAGAGATCAAGTAACAGATGGAGACCAAGAGAGCGTGTGGGAGGGATCCCCACAGAAGAGCGTGGAAGTCTGGTGGCCACAGGGAAAGGAGACTAGAGAAGAGAGAAGTAGCACAGCCTGGGAAATATCCCCACCTGGTGGGTAGGGAGCAGCAATATAGATGCCCCTGAAGGACCCTTGGACTGAGTGGGGGGTATCTCCCCTAGGGACCCCAGTGAAGAGGGGCTTCAGACAGGTGTTGGGAAAAGCCACAACCCCACACCCTCCTGTTATTCCCCTGGCCTCTGCCCCCTACCAGCCCCCTGGCCTACTGACAAGAAGGCTCAAGTAGGGGGGATTTGCCAGCTGGGTGTGGAGCCCAGTGTGGAGTCCAGTGGTCTAGACCACAGCCTTGGAGCGGAGTTGACCAGGGGCTCTGGGATGAGCCAGGTGGGTTGGCGGCCCCCTGCCCATCCTTTTGCCTGCATTAGGATTTGGGACCTTGGTCCTTCCCGGGGAGGGGCTGGTGTGCAGGGCACCAGGGGATTCCCTTGAGCTACAGGAGCTAGCACATCCCACTGGGATGTTTCTCCCCACCCTGACCTAACACCAATAGTACAGTGTGTCCTCAATGAGCCCACTCCAGCATGCTCAGTACCTGAGTGGCCCGGGGCAGGGGGGGAATGTCACCCAGTACCTCAGTCCCTGGGGAGCTAGCTCCTGGCCAGGGTCTGTCTAGTCAGAGCCCATGAACAGTCCAAAGACCAGGCTACTGATTGCTAGAGCCGCAGACTCTTAATGATGGAGCCTGCTTTACAGGGAACAGAGGACGGCCCAGGGAAGCCAGAGGACAGACCCAAGAGAACTTTCCCATTGGGGCTCCACCCACAGACCTGGCCTGGGACATGCTGGTCACGTGACCTTCTTAGGAGAACACAGAAGAGGCACAACGAGGGCTGCTGGTGCCCTAAACGCCGTTAGATCTGCTTCCGGGAGTCAGGTACCTTCGGACAAAGTGTCAAGGAGAGACAGTGTTCAAGAGAGGTAGAGACAACAAGAAATTCGGAGCAAGAGAGCATGAGAGCACGTGCCACCTGCGGGGGCTGGGGGAGGACAGGATTTCGGCGTCCCCGTTTCTGTACAACTGGCCTCAGCCTCCTTGTTGGTGCGACTTCTCCGAGGCTGCAAAGCTCCTGGGCGTGATTTCTCTCCCCCGGGCCCTGGTGACAGCCACCCTTGAGTCAAAGGGACTTGTCTAAAACCCCCAGCAGCCTCCTCCCCGCGCCCCGCCCCAGGTCCTGCAGCAGCCCCATCCTCTGCTAGTGTCCGAGGGCACTCGCCCCCTGCCTGCACCCCAGTCCCCTGCCCACAGCCTCTCCAGGCCTTTGCTCACCCACCCACCCACCCACTGAGGCCTTCCTCGTCATCTGAAACCCCTGCCCTCCATCTTTCCTGGCCCAGGAAGCCCCCTGGACACCCCCACAGGCCTGGGCTTGGCTGGGCTGCCAGGCCCTCAGATGCTTGGGCCCAGGGAGGGGCACCTGATTTTGTTGCATCTTCCTGGCAGGCCAGAAATCTCATTGACGAAGTCGATCTGGGCTGGGCCGGGTGGAGGCACCCACACAACCCCCCAATGGCGACCTCCGCCCCTCCCCCTCCAATTCGGAACCAGGTGGGGGGGGTGTGATGTGGAAATAGCGACCCTGTTAATTGCTTCCAAATGGTCAGTGCAGCCATTTGACTAATTGGTCTCTTCCAGACCCCGGCCTGGACACCCCCAGGCCTGGCCCCAGCCCGCCTCACCGCCACTCCTGGGACATCTGCTCTGGGTCCCCCCGCCCCCAGGTCCCCTCCCAGCCCTATCGGGTACCTGGGTGACCCCCGTGACCCCGCCCCCACGCCTCCAGCCCCTTCCCCTGGAGAGGGAGCCAGGGAAGGGGAGGGGACAGAGGGGACACAGTGCCCTGTGATGTGGCCCCAGCCTGTAACTGGGGTGACTATCAGATGTGGTGCTGGCTCCAGGCCCCAAACTCACTCTAATTACACCCCTGAAGAGCAAGGGGAGAGAGACCCGGCCTGCAGTGTGCCAGCCTGGAGCCAGCGGGCCCTGAAATCCTGTGGGCAGCCCTGCTCCAGCCCACCTTATGGATGAGAAGTGGGGGCTCCAGGGCCCCAGCAGGGGAGTGAGGGAAGCCGAGACCTTCCCAGTCCCCACCTTTGCTTCCGGTAGAGTTAGAAGCCTCAGAGCAACAGGGGTGGTCCTCGAAGGTGGACTCTCCACGCCCAGCTGGGGTCAGTTCTCTGCCTGGTGGATGCTGCCTCTGAGTAGACCAGCCGGCCGCCCTCCAGCCAAGGCCACCCCACTGTAAGGGCAACGCCTGGCCCCAGCGCCAGGCAGGAGCCCACCAGTTGGGGGGCATAGCTACCTCTTGGGGGTGCTCCTGGATGGCACCTGGCTAGGGGTCTCCTTAGTGCCAGATGTCCCAGGAACCCTAGGCCGGAGGGGTGGTCCCCAAGGGGTCTTGAACACTGCCTGTGCCCATGGACAGCGAGGGCTGCTGGGCACAGAGAGGAGCGGGACCCCACTCTGCTTTACGCCAGCAGGACCTCGGGGTGAGTCCAGCTCCTGAACGGCGTCTCGGGCCACGAGCACCCCAAGTAGGTGAATGAGAGACCAAAGAGGGCCACTTGAAGCCTGGGGGCCCAGGGCTGCAACCGCCAGAGCTGAGTCTTCTTTAAAATTTATTTATTTCTTTTTAATTTTAAAGAGCTTTATCGAGATATAATTCATGTACCCTATGATTCACCATTTGAAGTGTACAATTCAATGCCTTTTTGTTCATTCATAGAGTTGTGCAACCAACAATTTTAGAGCCTTTTCATCACCCCAAAAAGAAGCCTCATACCCTTTAGCTATCACTCCCTACTCCTCCATTCTCTCCTCAGCCCTAAGCAACACTAATTTACTTTCCACCTCTTAGATGTTCCAGAACATCCAGAATAGAGTTCCCTGTTCTGGACGTCTCATATGAATGGAACCATACAATGTCTGACCTTTTGTGTCTGGCTCCTTCTACTCAGCATCATGTTTTGAGGTTCATCCATGTTGTAGCCTGTGTCAGGGTTTCATTCCTTTTACAGGCTGAATAATATTCCATTACATGGATAGACCACACTTGTTTATTTGTTCATCCGTTGATGGACCTTTGAGTTGTTTCCTAGGTATTTGGCTATTATGAAGCCCCAGGCTGAGTCTTACAGGAGGAGGAGGGACGAGGGGAGGGGGAGAGAGGCACAAACACCTTGAGCTGCCCTCATTCTTCCTCGAACGCCTGAGGGCAGCCTCGGTGCCCGGTGTGGGGCTGCACGTGGAGCAGCTGGTGTGACCAGGAGCGTGGCCCCTGGAGGCGGTGGCCTGTTTCTATGACCTCTGGCACATGGACAGACCTCTCTGTGCCTCCGTCTCCTTGTCTGTGAGAGGAGAAACAGTACCCCCACTGCATGTGCTGGTATGAGGATTCCACAGGTGAGCACCCAGATCGGTCCCCACGATGAGCACACTGTCACCCACGGTGACTGCGGCCCCCAGCAGGACCAGCGCCTCCACAGACTATCTCAAAAGGTGGCTCAGGGGAAAAGGCAGGATGATAATGCGGTGAGGGCTGTATGAGTCAGCTCGGGCTGCTGTAACAAATACCACAGGCGGGGCAGCTTAAACCACAGACATTTACTGTCCCCCAGTCCTGGGGGCTGGACGTCTGAGATCCAGGTGTGGGCAGGGCTGGTTCCTCCTGAGGCCTCTCTCTCTGGTGTGTAGACGGCCGTCTTCTCCCTGTGTCCTCACGTGGTCGTCCTTCTGTGTGTGTCTGTGTCCTGATCTACTCTTCTTATAAGGACACCAGTCCTATTGGATTAGGGCCCACCCTGGAGACCTCATTTTACCTTAATTACCTTTTGAAAGACCTCATCTCCAAATACAGTCACATTCTGAGGTTCTGGGGGTTACGACTTCAACATTCGAATTTGGTGGGACACAATTCAGCCCATGATAAATGCTAACAAGAAAGTGCGCCCCCAGGCCTGGGGATGGGGTGGAGTGGAGTGGGGGCTGGGGCTGAGATTTGCACACCGCCCCCCACCCATTGTGGCCCGGCAAAGCTTGATCAGAGCTATGAAAGCAAACACACCCCCACCCCCCACCTCTGCACATGCTGGTCCCTTCCCCTGGGGCATCCTTTCGCTCTTTACTTCTAGAAGCTCCTGCTGTTCCTGGAAGAACCAATGCATCGCCCCCGGAAGCTCCCACCTCCCCAGGCGGAACAGGTCCCCCCTACCCCCACGTGCCGTCCTGATCCCGAGGCCTGTCGGGGTCAGCTTCCTGCTGTCTCCTGCTCAGACAGCGCACTGCAGAGGGCAGGCAGGCCTTGTCCACCTCTGTCCCAGACTGTCCTGTGCACTGTGGCCAGGACGTTTGAGATGGTGGGCAGGACGCAGAGACCGTGAGCTGGAGCTGCAGGGGCTCAGCCACTGGGGGGCGGGGCGTATTGAGAAGTGCTCTCAAGGGGCTCGCGGGAAGGAGGGCCCTGACCCTCCCATCCCCAGAGACCAGCATGTTCCCTGTCCTCACCTCCCCTTCCCCCAGCCCCTCTGCTGCCTGACCCCGAGTCTGCTGTGGAAAACGAGCCTCCACTTAGCCTCCTACAGCAGGCTGCCAGGGGGAGGGAGACCCTTGAAATACAAGTACAGGAGCTGACATCGACGGCTGGAGAACTCCAATTCATGGTCTCTCTCAGGCCAAGGTAGGGGGGGCTTGGGTCCGGAATTTTCCAGAACCCCTCGGATTCCATTTTCTGCTTCATTCATTGTCCCTTCTGCCTGAGCACCCTCACAACTGTCAGCCCCTGACGCCAGTCTCAAGTTCAGCACACGTGGGCAGGACGTCTCCCCTCCGCCTCTCAGCGTCACGGCGCCGCATCCTCTGGAAGAGTCCCCTGAGCTGAGAGAGGGGCCGAGGGGCTGAGCAAGCTCCCAGGCACCCCGGGCTCTGCGGGGAGTTTCCAGGGAGGGAGATCCTGGGGCAAAGGGCTGCCTGGCCCCATGGGGCCATGTGACCTCAAGGGACCTGTGTCCCCAGTGAGCAGCCGTTGATGCCCAAGCTGTAGGGACTCACGCTTCTCTCAGCTTCTCTTGAGGAAGTCTGAAGGTGCCCCCAGCCCTCCCTAATGGATGGATGCTGGCCCCGGCGGCTCGCTGACCATGTCACCAAGGCCCTGGGCAATTTCTGGGGACACGCTTCTGTCATCTCCGAGTCAGGGCCAGTCCCACCCTCGCCACAAATCAAAGTCAAGTCCTTAAGATGTGGCTGCCCCAAGCCCCCCTGGATTTCGTGATTTCGGGGGAAGCCCCTCAGCCACCTGGCTGGTGCGGGGACGCGGCCGTGTAGCCGGAGGCCGCAGCGCAGCAACGGCGGTGAGGGAGCGAGGTTGGGAAGGAGCTAGGCGCGCACTTGCTTTTGTTGATGAGAAACATTTCTCGTTTCCCGACCTCAAGGGGCCAGGGAGGGACACTCACTTCCCACTCGCTGAGCTGAGGCCCTCCAACACCCACCCGGGGGCTGCTCTCGCCAGCAGAGCAAGCGAGGCTCCCAGCGCCGGCCCGGCCTCTGTCACCGCCAGCTGCCAAGCCAACTGCCAGTGTTGCCCGCAAGCCTGCTGTGGCCTCCGTTCCTGGTCCTGCTGCCACCCCTCACCTTCAAGTGAGGCCGTGTCCCTCACTTGCTCTGGGGCATGGCCTGGCCCCTGCCCATCTCTCTGGCTCCTCCTCCCCCACACTTGGCCTTGACGGGTCACTGTGAACTTCTCAGAGTCCCCAGGAGCACCGGCTCTGCCCCACCTCGGGGGCTCCGCATTGGCGGTTCCCACTTCCTGCAGCACCTCGTCCCCTCCCCTGCTCCCACTTTGGCTTGTCTGGATTCTTCTTGTTCTCAGAGATCCAGCCGAGAGAGCCCCTCCATGGAGGGGGCGTCCCTCTACCCCTTCCCCTCCCTGGCTGGGTCGGGGGTCCCCCCTCCAGGCTGCCTGCATCCATCTCATCCACAGGCCATTACCTTTGAAGGAGGCCAGGGGTGGTCTGCTTTTCTCTGCTTTCTCCATGCCCCCAGTCAGGGCTTAGCCTGAGTCAATTCCCCGTAGATGATGAATGAATGAAGGAATGAAGGAATGAAATCTACACAGCATCCCTTAACCTGATCATGTTGGTCATTTGAGTGACAATGGAGGAAAGAAGGTCCTTGTATGGGTCCTGACAAAGCTGGCCTGGTTGGGGGGACAGAACAGCATTGTCTCATCTGACTGCCCAGCTGGCGGGTGGCCCCGTTAGTGTCCCTATTTCCAGTCAGAATGGAGGGGCTTCCTGGAACGTTCAATTTGCAAAAACTCCAGAAAAATTGTAGACTAGAAAATCACCCACCCTAAGAACTGTGCATGAGAAGCACAGAGTGGATCCTAAGGCACTTTTCAAACCGGAAAGAACCGTCCAGCAGGTAAAACCGTCAGGGCAGCTGAAAAGACTGAGAATGGAGCTCCGGCGCATCCTCCAGGGCCACTGTCACAAGGGACATCAGCAGAATCTGTGACAGTGTCCGTTGCAATGTCCCCTGGTCTATGAATCCCAGGTGGCCTTTTATCTCACAAAGTCCATAAAGAAATATGCCCAAGAATGTTCCCTGCAGCGTCGTTCACCGGGACATGAAACCAGAAACAACCCAGGCCACCTCCACACAGAGACTACGGTGCGACAAATGCTGCAGGCACACAACGAGATGGCCGTGAGCTCCCTGTGACCGAAGGTTCTCCAAGCGGTCTGTAAAGGAAACTACACAGCAACAGACAGCATGGGGAGTGCATTCGTGACGTGCTGGGTTCGAATCCAGGTTCTGCCACTTACTACCTGTGTGAGCTTGGGCAAACTACCCTCTCCAGGCCTCCATTTCCCCACCTGTAAAATGGGGTGATTATGGTGAGGCTGAGGTGAGTCAGCACGAGTGCAACCTTGAGGGCCGTGTCTGGCGCACAGTGTGCGCAGATCTTGCCGTGGTTTTACTATTCGCACACGCTGACGGATACACGGAACGTTTCTGAAAGAGACACAAGAAAATGTGGGAGCCGTTAGTTACCTCCCGGGAAGGAGGCTGCAAGTAAGGGATGCACATAATTAACACTCTTTGGGTTTGATTTCGCTGTGGTTTTCATTTCTACTGAGAGCAGGTAGGCAGGTATTGCTTTGCTGATTCCTAAGGGAGTCTGGTATGCAAGGCGTGCGCGGCGAGGCCCTTCAGCTGGGGCAGAGGCGACGGCAAGGGATCAGGGCTAAGGTCTGCAGGGACGAGAAGGAAGCAGATGGGGGCAGCGAGTTCCTGTCCTGTACACGCTCTCTCTCCTCTGACAGCAGCTCCGCCCAGGCACGGATGCTCCGACAGGTGGAGGCCCAGGCAGGCACGAGCACGTCCAGGGTGGACCCTGGGCTGGATTCAGACTCCACAGCCCATCTTCCTTTTCACTCATCAACATGACCTGCACGCAGAAAGTCGGAACCGTCAAGTGTCCCCATGCAGATCATTTTAGGTGCACATCTCAGCACAGACAGCAGCCTTGCCGCCCCACCTGGCACTGTAAGCGATGACCAGGCACGTAGAACTGGGCAGGGCTCCTCAGAGACCCCAGGCCCTAGACCCACTCTCGCATTGACACACAAAAAGCTGACCTTGCAAGATGGAATTGGATCCAGCTCAGGGACTGACGGACGGCGGGCTTAAGCAAAGCCCCCACTTGACTTACCAGGGAAGCTTGGGGCCCATGCGGACACGGCCACTGCCTGCTCGAGGCCTGCACAGTGTAGCTAATTGGCCTCAACATTTTCCTCTCTTGAATTTAAATCCTTTTAGCGACAGGTTATGAGACAATGGGCTCTTGGGGGCCGTCATTAGGCCGGGGGAAAGCTCTGGCTCAGCCATTCCCCGGGTGAGCCTCGTTACTGGGCGGTTTAGAGGTGCCGTGTGTCTCTCCTGGGGACACGCACACAATGTGAAGAATGTCTCCGAGCCACAATGACATTTTCATTACGGGCGGCCCGCCGGCCCTCACAAAGGAGCCTTTCCCCCAGCTCAGGGCCCACGATCCGGAAGGTTCTTAGCCTGCTCTATGGCTCTCTTGCTCCGGGTGAAAAGGGGGCACCAGAATCCAAGTCGAACACCCCTGACCTCTGCCCCACATGCAGCACCCATTCCCAGGGCGCGGGCTGCTGTGGGGGTGTGGGCCCGAGGCTGGGCCGGCTGCACTGCGGTGCTCTCGCAGAGCACCCTGCCTTCCCCGGGACCATCCGCCGTGGCCTCTTTTGTCCCTCAGCTGTGATTTCACCTGCCTGTCACCGGGAAGAGCTGCCCTGTCCCCCGCCAGCCAGAGAATTGGCAGCCACTGCTCCCCAGACGCCCCTGGGCAGCCCTTACTTAACCTTTCCCTGACTTGCAGGGCCCACACCCACGCTGTCTCCGGGACTCGGGCCGTGGCCTGGGGTGGGGGTCTTTGGGTCCAGTCAGACCTGGACCAGGAAAGAATTCTGCCCAGGGTCCTAGGCCTCTTCCCACTGCCCCCCCGCTACGAATTGGGGGCTCACAGGAGTTGGGGGGGCACGGGTCTCCTAAAGCAGAGTTCCCAGTAAAGGCAGAAGGGGAAGGGCTTTGCCGCCGGGCGGGCGGGGTGTCCCTCCCGGTGGCTTCTGTCCCCCCACCCGCGGCTGCTGCAGCCTTGTTTGTAAAACCACGATTTTCTCAGCTGCATTTTGATCACCGCGATGAGCTTTCAAATACAGTCTTTCTCTAGACAAAGCCGAACTCGACAGCTTGGCACCGCAGTGGAGAGAGACACGGGGTCCCTGCGGCTCCATCCGAGGCCTTGCCCCACGCCCAGTGGACGGCCCAGCTGTATTGCCCACCTTGACCGCTGGGGCAGGCATGGGACTCTCCCTCAGGCCAGTACCCGGGCGTTTCTGCAGTGTCGACGCACTGACCTCTGTTTGATAGCAGCTCTACAGAGCTGTAACTCACATAGCACACGATTCACCCACGGAGGTGCACGATTCAGGGGGTTAGTGTGCTCAGAGGTGTGCAGCCATCGTCACCACCAGCTATAGAACATTTTAATCACAGCGCAAAACCCCTATCCCCGTTAGCAGTCGCCCGTTCTCCCGAATCCTCCCGCCACCGGCAACTACTCGTCCACTTTCTGCCCGTGTGGATTTGCCCGTTCTGGAAATGTCATACAAATGGACCAGCGATAGGTGGTCTTTTGTGACTGCCAAGGCTATTGTCGAAACAAGGAAAGGGCACCGGCCCCTCCCTAGTGCCCCGCATCTTGGCACCCGCTCATCACCCTCACGGAGCAGGTTGTGGGTGGCAGGGTCAAGCCTGGACCTGGCGTGGAGACCACAGACATTTTGGCCACTTCTTTTGAGCTCGACTCTGAAAACCGGGGGTCGGGGACCCTAAGGGAGGGGCAGTACACCTCAGACCAGTCTGGCCGAATCCAAGGGAAGTAACAGGATGCGTCCTGCTAGTGAGCCAGGTAAGAGCCCCGGGTGCCGTGCGCCAGAAGTGGGGTGGGGCGTACCTGATCTTGTGTGATCCTCACCCACTTGGGCCCCCCCCCGTCACCCCGCTGGGACCTGGTGGGGCCAGCATTTGGCCCCAATATGTCTCATTCCGAGAGCTGGGCTCCCTCCTCTGCAGGCACGGGCCAGGAGCCGGGGCTGTCCTCCAGATGCAGGGAGCCCCCTCCTCTGTCCCCCGCCCATGTCCCCAGCACCTCCGCTTCCCAGATCCTGGAGTGGGGCAGCGATGTAGCCTCCTCCCAGCTTCTGAATCTGAGAAATGGGCACAAGGACAGCAGCGCCCTCGTGAGGCTGCTTCGGGGACTGCGCTCCTGGGGAGGCGCTCGCAAGCACCTGCTCCTTCTCCCCTCTCCTGCCCTGGTCGCCTGTCACGGCAGCCGCGTTGCTCTGAGGACAACAGGGGACCGTGTGAACTGCTCCCCGTGACTCTCAGGTCCAGCCTTGGCTGCCGTCACTGCCCCGCCCCAGGAAAGTGAGAGTCTCCTCCATCACTTCTGCCTCCCCGGCCCGAGCACAGCTCCTGCTTCTGCTGAGGTCGGGGCTCCACACAGTCCGCCTTTCCCCAAAGTGAAACCCACCAGAGGGCCAAAGCTCACTGGCCCCAGGCCTTGGAATACCACCGACCTCTTCAGATGTCACTCCCTGTGTCTCTCTCTTGCTGTCTCTCTGACTTGCAACTAGACCAGCCTTCGCACACTTCCATCTCTCTTCGATTTTTGCTTTCGGATTTGAAGCCGCCGTTGGATGCAGGGAGTGGCCTGTGCCTCCAACAGGCCATCTCTGTCCAAGGATGTAACCCCACCGTTGCCCTGGGATGAGGAAAGGACAGGAAAGCCACAGAAGCCAGAGGCTGTACTGGCCTCCGAGGACCCAGCTCCCGGGATCTGCCCCCGTGTGTCCAGGAGGAGCGAGACCATCTGGAAGACGCCCCAGGAAGGGACTTGCTTTCTCATCACAAACCTCTTGTGAAAGTGTCCTCAAAATATGGGCCTTAATTCCTTCCCAACAAAAGAGTTTGTTGACAGCCCCTCAGCATCTGTGTCTCTGTCCATCTTCCACTGGAATCACTCTCCATGGTGCCACCCGTCGAGGTGGCCTCGAGAGCATTTGTTCAAACTGCTGGTGGCTCATCTGTGACTCACTGAAATCAGACAGACCAGGGGCCAGCCCCATAGCGTAGTGGTTACGTCAAGAACGCTCTGCTTCAGTGGCCAGGGTTCACGGGTTCAGATCCTGGGCATGGACCTATACCACTCATCAGGCATGCAACCCACATATAAAGTGGAGGAAGATTGGCACAGATGTTAGCTCAGGGAGAATCTTCCTCAGCAAAAAAAATAAAAATGAAATCAGACAGACCAGACCTCAAGGCCACTGACACCCACCTGGGGGAAGCTTATGCCCACCTGGGGACCCCAGTTACAGCAGGGTGCCCCAAGTTTGGCAGCCTCCCCAAGAAGGCACATGGAATGAGCACTAAGGAGACGCTGTCGTCTTCACGATAAGCACCCTGGGCTTCAGTTCCTCCCAAATGTCTCACAAGATTCCCAGGGGAATCCAGTGTCCACCAGCCATGGAAATTGCTGTCTAAGACCATCCGTGAAACCAAAACACAGTCTGATCACTCCTCTATTCACATTTGGTCGTTCATCCATTCATTCGCTCACTCATTCATTCACTCAACAATGTTTTGAGTTCCTGCTTTGTGCAGGCCACGAGCGAGGACACAAGGACGCACAGGACACGTTGCTGTCCTGGCAGAAGGCTGGCAAACGTGCACAAGCAGGGAGAAGGTGGGTGACAGAGGTGAGGGGCGGCAGCACCTTCGGGCCAGGTGGGCACGGGCAGGGGGCACCCACTGCGCCGGGGCAGGGGCAGGAGGCAGTCTCTCCTCCCCTCCTGCTGGCCGGCTTTGACCTCACTTAGCCACTCAGCGAGCGTCGTGGGCCCCACCTGCACTCCACGTCTCTCACATTTCATTCTCCCAAAAACTGTTCCACGGTCGGGCAGTGCCTTCCCTGTCATGCCCACTCTCTGCTTTGCACCGTACTCGAGTTCTGAGCAATAGACAGGGAGAGACCACGTGCTCCACTTCCCAGATGGGGAAACTGAGGCACGGAAAGTATCCAGTTTGCTCAGGAGCACACAGCAGGTAAATGGATGAGCTGGGCTTTGACTCCAGGACCCAGCCCCACAGACTGCACCCCCTCTTAGTAACCATCCACAAGAAAGAGAAAGCCGTGTAGACAATGCTGTTCTTCCGGATGTGATACGCAGCCAACAGGGGGTGGGTACACCCAGAGTCCGACAAAAGGTGAAAATCTATCTCCTGGACACTGATCTGGTGCTAGCCATACACAACGTAGCCTTCTAAACATTTAATAAATATTAACTCATTTAATCCTCATAATAGCCCCAGTGGGTAAGGGCTATGGATAGCCCCATTTCAGAGATGAGAAAACAGAGGCACAGAGAGGTCAATCAACCTGCCTGCAGGTGCTCAGCAGCCAAGGGGCAGAGCCAGGATTCATAGGCAGGGAGCTGGGCTCTGGAGTTTATATCTGAACCACGTGCCACTCTCCGGTCTGTTTATCTCACAGCTCTAAGGATAATTAGGAAGATTACGTGTTGGGTGGGGAAATGCTTGTGATCAAATATTAAGTGGACAAGCAGCAGTCAACATTGTACTTATACTTTGCTCGCAAATAAGAGAAAAAATAAAGATGTATTTTTACATAAAAAACGTGATATCCGTACATTACCTGGGGCCAGCTCCTGGCGGGGGGCAGACACAAATGCCAGAGGCAGAGTGATTAGCGTGGAGGAATGGGGGTGGGGAGTGACCTTTTCTCTCGAGTTCCTCCAATGTCGTCCACCCCATTGTCTTTACAACAAAAATAACTCATTTCCCCATGAATGGGTTTCTTTAAAGTGTCACTTCAAAATTCCTTTGGGATTCTCCAGGCTCACTCAGGTGCCTGGAGTGGCGGTGAGGGGCCCATTATCCTGAACTCAGGACAGAGGGACAGGAAGCCTAACCGTGTGTGGCTTTGATGCTCAGAATGCGTCACCTGAAAGAAAAATGGTGTTTCTCCGGGCATGCCAGGATGTCCAGGAGGAAGCCAGAGACACGTGCAGAAATGCTGTGCTGCCGGGGGGTAAGACCCCAAGCTCGGCGGCTGCAGCCGACGCCGGCTCTGCCAGAAGCCGTTCCACACGGGCATTTCCCCCTGGTTGCAGAGGGTCTGGAGGGTCCCGGGCAGGGGGCAGCTGACCCCGCCCCAAGACGGGGGCCCTGACTCCAAACCTACCAGGCGGATGTGCGCGAAACTCAAATGCATCCTGAGAACACGCTTTGCCAGGTGACGGGCTGGCAGGTGCCGAGGAGGTTCAAGCTCAGTCCCTACAGATTGGAAACCCCAGAGGTTCTGCTGGTCCAGGCTACGAGGAGGCTGCAGCCATCGGTGCCGTTTACATGGGTTTGAAGAGTTTGGGGACACTCTGTCACAGCTGCAGATGTGCAGGGCAGAGTCACACATTGAAAACTGCCACGGAAGAACGTGCATGTGCCCACGTGGGCTTGACAGTTGGCACAGAAGTCAGACTCTGGCTCAGACTGACCCATTCTGTGACTTAACCGCTCTGTGCCTCAGTTTCCTCACCTGTAAAATGGAGACATAATAGGGCTTACCTCATAGGATTTTGTGATGATAAACCTCATGGAACGACCCCACATGTCGGGAGCGTTCGGACAGGACTGCCGCCACTGCTCTTTAATCCTCATGACGATCCCATGAGGTCCTTCTCATCACCCACCCTTTGTGGGTGAGGAATCGCAGTGCAGAGAAGGGAAGCAACCTGCCCACGTCACTGCGGGCGGCTTTAGACCTGTTTGGGCCGTTCCTTGATTCACGCCATCACCCCGCAAGAATGATCCTCGCCGGATCCCCCGGGGCCTGGGACACGGCGGATTCTTCCCCGGAGAGCTCGCAGCAGGGAGAAATCTCGCACTGAACACCTCGCCGCTGAAAAGATCTGCAAAGAACAAGTGGACCCATTTTTATTTTTCGCTTAAATTTATTTCGAAGGAAACTTCACACCCTTATCGAGCATAGAGACCAGCATCACGTGCCCTAATTACATCATAACCGTGAAAATAAGTTCAAGGAAACGGTGTTATTAGGTTCTAACTAAATCCGAGGCGCAGACGCGGCGCCTGCTCTTGCATTGTAAAGGGAGGAGCAGGGGATGATGGGGAGGGGGAAAGCTGGACTTCCATTTAGAAAACTCGAAAGAGAAGAGACGGGAGAGAGCGTCCTCGCTGTGCAACCCACAGCCACATCGGCCGTTGCACACGTGCGCCCCCCGGCTCGGGAAGACCGGTCCTCAGTCCACTCGAGCCCCCCGCCCCACAGCCGGCTTCTTCCTCATGCCAGCGATGTGCCAGGCCCTGGGCCTACGGGCTGGGGTGGGGGAGCGGAGCGTGGTGCAAGCATCGGGGTCACTGCCCTGAGGATCCCCCGGTGGGCATGGCCCTGGTCCCCCTCTGGCTGCCCTTCTACAAGGCAGAGGGCGCCTGGGCTGGGTGGGGCCCCTGCTGTCCCTCCTGCCGCCCTTCTCAGCGGTTTTCTCCTTCACCACCTCCACTCGAGCCAGAGGCCCAGAGAGCGCAAGAGACTTAAGAAGGTCACACAGCAGGCAAGGGGCCCCAGGGATCTCAAACTTCCCCACTCCCCCAGGCTGTGTTCTTTATTTAGCGACGATGGCAGCAATGACCTTAGCCACACAATGATCACATCTACCCGCCTCTACCCCGTTCAGGGGTGGAGACCGGCTCAGAGGGTGGAGTGACTTGCCCAGAGTCTCTCTGCAAGGATGTGGGGTGCAGGAGCTGGACCCGGGCCCAGCTCCCTGGCTGCTGTCATCCCTCAGCCTGCCCTCTCTGGGCTGCGCTGCTGGGCCCCCCACCCACAGCCCTTTCCTGGTGTCCTAACGCAGGAGGCCTGCAGGGCAGGAACAGGACCGCTGAGCCCAGCACACTCCCCCTTCAGAGCATTCTGGACTCCAACCATCCCCGCCCCCCATTTGTCTGGTTTTAAAGGGATACTGTGGTCTTTACAAATCATTCATCTTCAAAGCAGGGAAGAGAAAAGGCTCCAGAGGGGCCGAGCGGGCATTGTGAGCGGCCGGGAGGGCTTTGCTTTAGTACCTGAGATGATGACTAATTGGAGCCCGGCGGCCGCTTTCAAGGAGCCGGTGGCATTGTGAGCACCACGCCTTGGGGAGCCGGTCTCAGGAGGGCGGGAGGGCAGGCGGGGACCATCCCCTCCCCACAGCCCAGCTGAGCGCTGTCCACGCCCCGAGTCAGACATTCCGGCTTTGGTTTGGGAAACCGCAGGGCCCCCGGGAGAGGCCGCTGGGCTCAGGCTCTGGGGGGGATCGCTGCTGTCCTGGGTGCCTGCTGCGATGGGGGATTATAATACAACTCTGTTTTTCATCCTAATTCCGGGGTCTGCTGCGACAAAGTACCGCAAACCAGGGGGCGTAAAACAGAAATTCATTCTCTTGCAGTCTGGCAGCTGAAAGTCTGAAATCAAGGTGTCCCCTCCAAAGGCTCCAGGGGAGGGTCCTTCCTGGTCTCTCCCAGCGTTCCCGGGCTGTGGCCGCATCCCTCCGGTCTCTGCCTCTGTCCTCACTTGGCCCTCTATCCCGTGTGTGTCTATGTCTCTATTTTCTCTTCTTATAAGGACCCCAGCCATTGGATAGGTCCCTCCCTACCCCGGTAAGACCTCGTCTTAATTACATCTGCAAAGACCCCATTTCCAAATAAGTTCCCATTCACAGGTTCTGGGAGTTGGGACTTGGAGATAACTTTTCGGGGGGACAAAATTGTACCCCTACACTCTCATATGGTGTTTGCGGCGGCCAGTCCCTTCACAGGCAGGGACTCAGTGAACCTCCCACTCAGTGGCCCTGCGAGGGAGGTGGGCTCTCATTATCATCATTGTTCCCATTTTACAGATGGAGAAACCAAGGCACAGAACCCTGCTCTCGCTCGCTAGCGTAGGCACCTTGACTCTATGAGAAGGGACTGTGATCCCCCTTCCCAGAGGGGACAACGAGGCACAGAGGGTGTCAGTAGCCGGCCCTCGGGCAGCCCATGGCTGTCTGATCCCATGCCCGGGCACTGCCCACCACACCACACCGCATCCCCAGCCAGTGAGGCTCTTGGCCTTGGCGGAGCGAGCTGGGAATTCACGAAGCTGAACATCACGGACTGGGAACCAAAAAACGCAATCTGGGCCCAGGGCAGGCACACCCTGCTAGGCAGCCTGGGGCAAGACACCTCCCCTCCCTAGGCCTCAGTTTCCCCAAGTGAGAGAGGAGGAAGAGTCCAGTGCACTGTCCCGTACGGACAGCCATGCGTGGTGACTGAGCACTTGAGACATGACCAGTGTGACCGAGGAACAGAAGCTTCATTCTGCTCAATTCTAGTTCATTAAAATTTAAATTTATTTATTTATTTATTTTTTCCCCCAAAGCCCCAGTAGATAGTTGTATGTCATAGCTGCACATCCTTCTAGTTGCTGTATGTGGGATGCGGCCTCAGCATGGCTGGAGAAGCGGTGCGTCGGTGCACGCCCGGGATCCGAACCCGGGCCGCCAGCAGCGGAGCACGCGCACTTAACCACTAAGCCACGGGGCCGGCCCAAGTTCATTAAAATTTAGATTCAACAACAGATGATCAATTTAGTTATTGGAAACATGATCAGTTCAGTTATCAGAGTTATTTTGCAAGTTTGGAACAACTTGGGTGTGTGAATCTCCTCTTTCAACTGTAGACGTTACGGAACCTAAATACAGATGGGGTACCCCCGAAAGAAAATTTCGCATCTGAGTTAAGACGTTCTGTAAAATGCACACACGGGATTTCGGAGGCTTAAAAGACAGGAAAGAATGTCAAATAGCTCGTCAGTGTTTTTCATATTGGCAATGGATTGAAACGACACTATTTTAGATGTCTCAGCTTACATAAAATATACTATTAAAATTAGTTTCACCTGTCTCTCTTTACTTGTTTGAATGTGGTTGCTAGAAAACAACACGATATTTAACTGGACGGGGCTGGTCCCGATCGGCGGGTCTGCATCTCACACGTCGTGGGAGCCGGTGGTTTACCGTGTCTCCCGGGCGGGCTGTGGCAGCGATCCTGGGGAGAGGCTGGCGCTCTCAGGGCCGAGCTGGACGGGCAGTCGTGTGGAGGTGAGTGGACTGGAGTCTGGAAGGAGGGAGGAGGGTCGGGGGTGGAGGCGATGTGGCGGGTCTGGTCCGGGCAGAGCCGAGGTCCCCGCTGCCCCAGCAACACGTGCACATCTGTTTCCGGCATGAGTTAGTGGGGTGGCTGAATGATTCGTCACCCACACCAGGACGGCAGGAGGGGGTGCTGGGTCACCACCGGGCTGTCCTGGGCAGTCCGGATGTCAGGCCCCTGTGACAAGCGCCTCTCTCCCCCCTCCCCAGGAGAGCCTTCCAGGACCGGCTCCCACCCCGTGTTCCCGGAAATCACTCGATTCTTCCTGTCACTTTGGGGACTGTGTCCTCCTGCTGGCTGCTCTAGTTCACGCGGGGATGGCAGGAGGAAAGAGCTGGGAAAAGATGACTCGCTCCCTTCTGGAAAATTCTGGAGTGTGTGTCCCCCGGGATGAAATGTTTGCTTCCTGGCTACTCTCCTCACAGTGGTTGTCAAGCCAGATCCAAGAAGTCAGGACGTGGCGGGTGTGTGTGTTAATGTGATGTGTGTATGAGTGTGCGTGTCTATGTGTGTCTGTGTGTTTGTGTGTCCCAGTCTCTGGGTGTGAGTTAGTGTGTCTGGGCATGTGCCTGTGCGTGCGTCTGTGTGTGCTCTTGGTGTGTGTGTGTCTGTGGGAGTCTGTGGGGCCCCTGTGGGTGTGAGTGTGGTTGTGTAGGGGAACCCGTAGGCCTTGCTCAGGGCTGGCTGAGGCGGGTCTCTGCTCCCCGCTAGCCGCCCCGCACCCCCTTCCCTGCAGAGTCTCTCTCTCCTGGCCCCTCCAGCTGCCCCTGTAGTGGAGCACTGAGCTGGAGGGGGATGGGGCCCTCACAGGCTGCCACCCCCTCTGGGCTGGCAGGACCGTGTCTCCAGTAGGGTCCCAGCTCCCACCCCACCCTGCCGTGACCCCGCCTGTGGCCTCGGCTGGTCACCTAACCTCTGGGACGAAAGGGCTCACCCCGTGGACAGCACAGGGCTTTGTGCTCCGAGTTTTGCTGGTTGGTGTTACATCCACTCCTCTTTCTCCCAATCTTGGGCCATGTGCCTCCCCCTGGTCCTGGGGAAGGCACAGCCAGGGCGGCTTCCTCCAGGCTGGCCCCCAGGCACTCGGGCAGTGTGTGCTGGCGGGGACTCAGGGAGGAGACCGAGGTGAACAGCCCTGCATGGGCTCAAGGCGAAGGCCAGACGGCCAGGTAGACATGGGCATGCGTCTCTGCTCACTGAGCCTCAGTTCACCCGTCTGTACAGTGGGGATAAGAACAGCCCCTCCCCCTCAGGGCTGTGTGTGGGTCGGGTGCCCGCACACCCCCACGACGCTAAACATACAAGCACCCACTCCCCTCCTGCTCCCCATCAGGATGGGCTGCCGTGGGACGAGAGGAGAGTGGGTCTGGGCTGGAGTCTTGCCTCCTGGCCGCCTGACCTTGAATGAGGCAAGCCTGTCACCTCTCTGTGGCTGCTGCACTGTGCCATGTGGGTAAGAACTCTCAGAGGCC